GACGTCCTTCAACATGACGGAGACCAAGGCATACCAGGCGTTTGTGGCGCGCCGGTTGAAAGGTGATGAGTCCGTTGATGCGTTTGTCGCTGACTTGAAGAGGCTGTCCGCCCTCTCAGGACACGAGGTGGCCGACGATAAGGACTCCGTGATAATTCAGCAGTTGCTGAATGGCTTGTCAGCGGATTTTAGTCGGCAGCTTCGACTCAGCATGGCTGGCAAGGACCTCACCATAAGCGGCTGTTGCGCGACCGTCCGTGCCCTCAAGAGCTCGGATGATGACAGCCAGAGAGCACCTGTACCTGCGTCAGTAGCTGCAGCTGTGGACAGTGGTGCTAGGCATGATGCGGAAAGTAAGCGGTCACTGAGCTGCTTCAAGTGCGGAGAGGTCGGACACATTCGTCGAAATTGCCCCCGACGTAGCAATGACGGCGGAGGATCTGGCGACAAGCAGATCCAGCGACAACGGGCAGGTGGTCCCAGAAGGCCTTTGGTGTGCTATTTCTGTGACGAGGAAGGTCACACGAAGATGGACTGCCAGCAGCGGAAGAAGTGGATGGAGACGAGACGGGTGGCTGCTGCTGCTGCGACGGGTCCAGACAAGGAGAGTGCGGCATCAGGGGGTGGCCATTGCCTGTGCACCGTTGCCGGGGCAGGACAACTACCTCGAGTGTATGTCGACGTCCGGAGTTCTGATAGTGAGGAGGGAGTGCGTGCCAGAGCTGTAGTGGACACAGGATCAGCCCGTACGTTGGTGGCGAAGCCCTTCGCCAGGGATCACTACATGTCCATGTCCTCTACTCCAATGCCACCCATGATCGCACTGGATGGAAGTCTAGTGGAGGTGCTTGGTACGCTGACGGTGACGCTGGAACGAACGGACGGCCCCGTCACTCTGCCCCCAATCGAGGTGAGCGCTTATGTGGTGGAGAGCTTGAGTGTAGTGGACTCCGATGTCCTCATCGGTAACGATGTCATCACAAGTAGTGGCGGCCTGCATCTGCAGTATGATGAGGACGGATGCCTGTCGAACGTGGTGATCGGCACCCTGGCTGCCAAGAGCCCAGACGTGTGCGCAGTATCGTCCAACGCTGATAGTCACCCGTACCCTCATGTGCGTGTGGAGCGTAGTGGCCAAGACGTCACGTTGAAGACTGACGACTGCGCCGTTCGATGGGACAGCAACAGCCAGAGGTGGACCATGGGCTGGACCTGGAAGGCCGGGACACCTCCATCACAGCCAGTCGGATGCGGTGTCGGCGAGTACTCCCGCCGGAGTCTAACGGAGGACCAGGAGCAGCTGTTTCGGACGGAGATTGACGCGTGGATCAATAGAGGGTGGATGATACCGTATGACCGCTCCGTCCACGGTGAGCCAGCTTGTGTTCTGCCACTGCTAGCGCAGGTACAGGAACATAAGTCCTCCACGCCCGTCCGGCCATGCTTGGACTACAGAGAATTGAACAAGCTCCTTTTGTCACAGCCTGGCTATGATGCCCCTGTGTGCGAGGATACCCAGCGGAAGTGGCGAGCCATCGGTGATGCCGGAGATTTCAGTGTCCTGGACATCAAGAAGGCGTATCTGCAAATCCATGTGGCACCCGAGCTGCTCAAGTATCAAGTTGTCGTCTGGAAGGGAGAGCGATATGCCATGACTCGGATGGGATTCGGCATGAACGTTGCTCCCAAAGTCATGGACATCGTGGTGCAGTGGACAGTGCGACACTTCTCAGCAGTCGACAACTACGTCGATGACGTGGTGACGCCCACTAGTGACGCGGACGCCGTGGCCAAGCAGCTTGCTGAGTATGGGCTGCCGACAAAGCCGGTGGAGCCTATGGCGTCGTCTAGGGTTCTTGGCCTACAGCTAAGCCAGAACGAGGAAGGGCACGTCGTGTGGCACCGGAGAGAAGGACTTGACCTCAGTTTGCCGCCGCAGCTGACGAAGCGTCTACTCTTTAGTTGGTGCGGCCGTCTGACCGGGCACGTGCCAGTGGCAGGGTGGCTGCGCCCGTACTGCAGCTACTTGAAGCGTCTCGCTAACCTCGTGTGCCCAACGTGGGACCAGCTGATCTCTGATCCTGCCCTGCTCAAGTTCTGCGGAGAGCTGCAGGCGAAGGTCTCTGGTGATGGTGACCCGGCGCACGGCTTGTGGCAGAGCAAGTCGTCTGAAGGTGTTGTCTGGACGGATGCGTCTGATGTGGGTCTCGCAGCGGTGGTGCAGATTGGTGGTGCGGTGGTTGAAGACCGGTCGTGGCTTAGACCCTTGACCGACAAGCGGCACATCAACGTCGTGGAGCTCGAGGCGGCCATCCGTGGTTTATCACTCGCGGAGCACTGGAAGTGTAAGAGTGTCCTCCTCAAGACAGATTCAAAGTCTGTAGCCAGCTGGCTCAGCGACGTCATCGGCAATGTGAGACGTGTGAGGACCAAAGGCCTGTACGATACCCTCGTCCAGCGACGGTTGCAGATTGTCGTTGATCTAATCAACACCACCGGCATGACTGTTTCGGTTGAGTGGGTTCCGTCGCACGAGAATCCAGCCGATGCCCTCACCCGAGTTCCGAATACTTGGATTCAGCATGGCAAGTCTCTATCGCAGAAGGAGGACCAGGTGGTGGCAGTTACGACTCAATCGGTCGTTGGACCAGTCAGTGTGGAGCAAGTCGCTGAAGCCCAGCTGGCCGACAAGGAGATTCAAGCAGTCGTTTCACAGATAGCTGAAGATCGACCAGTGACGGCGGCATACTCGAAAGTAAGGAAGCAGCTCGTCGTGGAGCACGGCGTGTTGTACCGGAGTGTCAAGCTCATGGTCGGTGGAGTCGTGCAAGTGCCAGTTATCCCGGATGGCTTGGTTCCAGATGTTCTTCAGGCAGCGCACAATGTGTCCGGGCATGGTTCGTGGCAGACCATGTATGCCTTGATTCGGCAGCAGTGTTACTTCCCTGGAATAGCTACAGCCTGCACTAATTTCGTCGAGCAGTGCGTCCGCTGCAAAGCAGCTAACCCTGTAGCTGGGCCGCCGGTTTCGCCTACTCGTGCTGATGTTCCTGGCCGACCGTGGGGTGAAGTTGTCTTAGACACACTGGAGCTTGGCCTGGATCGCAGCGGTCATTATCATTGTGTCCTCGTCGCAGTGGACTCGTTTACCAAGTGGGTAGAGGTAACACCTCTTCGTCGTCACGATGCATCGTCAGTGGCAGCAGCATTCACGGATATGTGCACACGATGGGGAGCGCCAGACGTCGTACGAGTTGATAACGGTACCGAATTTGCCAATGCCATTGTGGAGTCACTGTTCCGGTTGTTTGGCGTGCGTGTTCGGTCCGGAGCTGTTCGTCACCCTCAGAGCCAAGGATCTGCTGAGCGGTTCAACCGGACTTTGCTGGGCCTGGTACGGAAGTGCTTGGATGAGTCCGAGGCGTGGAAGGAAGAGCTTGGCATCCTGATGTACCATTACCGCAATCGCCCCCATGCAGCAACCGGCCTGACGCCCATGGAAGCGATGTCTGGGTGGAAGCCACGACGGCTGATTGTCGACGCGACTGAGGAAGCCTGTATGATGAGTGAGTGGGCAACGAAACTAGCGGAAAGATCGGCCCGTGCGCGTGATCTCATCGAGGAAGAGCTGTCCGACCGAGACTTCGTTGAAGAGCCCAGGCTGCCTTGTCCGTTCAATGTTGGTGACCGCGTGATGCTACGACGGCCTAGTCGTCACCAGAAGTGCCTGGCGCCTTTCGAAAGTGGCTGGGAAGTCGCAGCAGTTATAGCGCCGACAACAGTCAGGATTCGGAGGATGTCGAACCACCAGCTGATGAAGACCGTCAACATAGCCCTCCTGAAACCTGATGTCACGCGTCGTGAGCAAAACGACGTGCCAGTGGAAGATGACCAGGGAGAGGACGACAGTGTTGGTGAAATTGATTGGTCGGACTCTATTGCGGCTGGTGAACCAAGGTATGGCCTGCGTGATCGAGGTAACATTCGTGTTCCTACTCGCTATGCTGATTAATTCCCCTCGTGTCACCGGGTGATGGGGTGTTGTGGAATTGCGTGACTGTACTTCCAGCCAGCTCTGTACTCTGTACTAATACTATAGGAACGTGCAGTACCTGCAGGTCACATGCCAACAGTGCTAGTTTTAGTGTATTCTGTGGTTTGGATGATTACAAGTTACTTCTGTAGTACACATTGCATAATCATAATAATGAGGGTGATCATCCTAGGCTACAGTGCCTGCCAGCTGTGTTTGACTCAGCAGCAATGTACTCTGCGTATATGTGGCTGTTAGAAGCTGTGTTTACATGTTATGATGAGACGCTTTGGTTCTTTCTAGAAGGTCTCTCCGAAACCTTGTGTCAGTGGTTGCCAATACATTAGATGCTGTAGCTGCCGTTAGCCGCTGACTCATTGTTGTTCTCATTTGCATGTATGACTGTCCACATAGTTTAGAGGTGCTTTTCTTCCTCCGGCGTAGAAACTGTTCGAGGAACTACAATACATTAGATGGCACACCTTTGTGAGCCGGTTACGCGGAATGCTCTGATAGGTCAATGCTTCCATGGCTTACGACTATATCCTCTTCCTTTTCGTTATCTAAGTTAGTTGCGTTTAGACCGCGGTGAGATGTTTGGCCGGTGATGAACTCTTTCCTCTCTCGTCTTCGTGCATTGATTACTTTTCCGAGCGTATACTGCTTTCCCATTTCAGACTTATTTTACCCTCAGACCTGTGGTTGCTTTGGGCCGTGTGTGCTGACAGCGTGGTTCAGGAAAGGGGGGAAATTAGTCAACAGCGTTACTAGGTGAGCCGGGTTGGAGGGCAGGATTTGATAATCAAGGACCCTTGTTTATCCGGCAGAAAATGCCGTTGCAAAAGGTGCCGGATTAGAGAGGGACGACTGTACTTATTTTTCCCGTAGAAGAGGTTTTACCACCGTTTTACTACCCCTAGAAGTGTACTTCGTACATGCACATGATGACACTTATGATCATACATACCTTCAATTATGGCCCTTCTCCGAGGCTGCAGGCTGACACGATCTTCAGACATCATGAGTGCAAACAGGACCAAGGAGATGAACTGACTTGTGTATGCCTTTGTGCTGGCAACGCCAATCTCTGGGCCAGCGTTGATGTGCACACCACAGTTGGTCATGCGAGAGATAGAGCTACCCACAGTGTTGGTGATGCCCACGCACAGTGCACCACGTCCCTTGCAGTACCTGTGTCCAAGAAGAAACACACAGAGTCAATATAGCCATCATGTTCATAGGAAAATATCTATCAAAGTAGTGCAGGTCCCAGCAGTATATCACAGCCACACGCCCCACAGTTATTAGTACCCTGTGAAAGTGTCGGCAACAGCTCAGGTGAATATCAACTACAGCGGTGGGCCTGTATCTAACGAAAACTGACCAATCAACCGAAAGCAGCGCGAGGCTCATGCAGCCTCTGCAACCCTCGCCTACACAGTGCATGGATTGAGTGCATACGACCCCGAGCATTTTCGGGCCAGTGCCTTTCACATGCTACTCTATGTGTAGTGCCGATGATGTAACTAAAAAGGACACTTGGCGCTGCTTTTGCTTCACGGCTCAGATTTCATTGGCCACGGCTGTATATGTAAACCTTGAAGCACACACACACACACGAATCTTGTTCAGCCGACAAAACTCACCGCAGTGCCAACAAGGTGTCAGCCGTTTCACCGGACTGCGAGACAAAGAAGCACACATCATCGCGGAAGATTGGAGTGCTGCGGTCCAGGAAGTCACTAGCCAGCTCCAACATCACTGGCAGCTCGGTTAGCTCTTCCAGTAACTGCCGCGTCGCCATTGCACTGTGATAACTGGTGCCGCACGCAATGAAAATCAGACGGCGCGAGCGGCGAATTTCGCTCAGATGCGACACGAGTCCACCCAGAGTTACTGTGCCCTCTTCAAAGTTGATACGGCCACGCATCGTGTTGACGACACTCTCCGGCTGCTCAAATATCTCCTTTTGCATGAACGCCTCGAAATTACCCTTCATGATCTGCTGCAGCTCCATCTTGAGAGTGTGCACTGACCGCACCATGTTCTCATCCTCCTCAATGCGTTTGTGTCGGTGAATGCTCAGGCAGCCCTTCCTGACGGCAGCAATGTCATCGTCCTCCAGGTAGATCACTCTGTTCGTGTGCTCGATGACTGCACTCGGGTCCGAGGCGAAGAAGTACTCGATGGGCGTCCGCTCGTTGTCGGGTGCGTACGTGGTGATGCCAGGGACTTTCCCCAGCTGCACGCGCTCGTTTCCCAGCTGCTGATCGCAGCTGTACAGCACGGGCACACGGTCTGCGCTGCTCACCTCGTCCATGCTGCGAATGCCCACCAGCAGTGGACTGCCGCGGCGCGTGCACACCAGGTCATTTGGGAAGCGGCGACTCTTCACCGCCAGGGCAAATGCACCCTCTAGTTGCAGCGCAGCTCGCTCAACCAGCTGCCAGAACTCTAGCTTCTCGTCAGCAGTCGTGTCGTAAATGTACTTGAGTAGTTTCGGGATGACCTCCGTGTCGGTCTCCGACTCAAAGGCGTAACCTTTGTTCTGCAGAAACTGCTTGAGCACCTTGAAGTTGGTGATAATGCCGTTATGGATGACAACAAATTCATTCCCGTCATCGCTGCGATGCGGGTGACTGTTCACTGGGCTGGGTTCGCCGTGTGTCGCCCATCGTGTGTGAGCAATGCCAACGTGCGCTGACAGCTCTTCACTGAAGTCCAGGTCAGTGCAGGAATCGATCAAATCATTGAGTGCCTGCACCTTTCCACGTTGCTTCAACAGATGAATGTGGCGATTAGCCCTTTCACCGTCCAAAGCACCGTCTACAGCAATTCCCGCGGAATCATATCCCCGATACTCAAGTCGCCTGAGACCATCCACCAGGATTTGCAGGATTTTCTTGCGGCTTTGTGGGTGAAGGAAGTTGAGATAGGCGAAGATGCCACACATGTTCAAGGCTGTTGTCAGCCAAGGGAAACACTGCAACACTGCAAGTGCAAGTGACAGCTACACTGCAGAGCGGAACTACCAGTACTACCTCTAGTACCAATGCGTCCACTTCCCAAGCGTTGCCAGGTTCCGACAGGTACAGGTGACTGTCTACAAGTAGTGCGCACGCATCAAGGAAATCACTGCCGGTTGTGTACGTGTAAATGCAGTAGAAGAAAGAATCGTGTATCTTCCTGGTCAGTTTTTTAAATCTAATTATTTTCTTCAGCACAAGGACCCAGAACAAAGGATTTCTGATAGGAGGATCGGGAAAGGGTTTATCTGACAGTTACAAGTATTATTATACTACAAAAAACGGTGGACCCTTGACGCCCTAGCTAAACTAACCCACGACAGCCACAAACATCAAATTGCAAAAGACGACAGTCGAGGGGGCCTGGGGAATGACTATGTACTGATAACAATGAGGTAAAAAATAGCAAAGCAAGACGGCAGAGTGTCATAACCCCCGTACCAAGACTGAGAGTACAGTACAACACTTTTTTGTAGGTACGCTTTCCAACGGCCAAAGTAAAAGCTGAGAGCTTGTGTCTTTGTGGTTACCAGTGGTTACTTGAACATAATCATTTGGGCTCATGCAAAATCGCACCGATTTTGGGATTTCCCCACAACTTTTTGCTTCAGCAAAAATGTTGTGCTGGACCGCAGACCGTGTTCCTGTCACTCTTCGCAGTGGCTTTTCGTTGGTGCAGTTTGTATCCCACCCTCCCACCTAGGCCCTGGCCTGGGCCCTGACTTCTGGGTGTGTGTTTATCGATAATATTATTATCTTATTGGTTTTCTTATTGGCCATGTGGCTGTTGCAGTTACGACTGCTTTTCTTTTTTAGTTAAAAAACGTAGGGGTGGGTGTGCGTCGTGGGCCATTGTATGGTTACATACAGCTTCAGATTGTATGGCTAGTGACAGGGGGGGGGGGGGGGGGGGTTGAGGCTGCAGGGGAAGAATACAGTGATTGAACTGAAGCTGGATGATAACCGTGTGGTGAGTGTGTGTGTGGGGGTTCGAGATGCCGTCCTGGGCAGGGATGTCGGTCCTTTAGCTTGGACGGGTGTTGTTACATTCATTGTAACATTTTGTCGTTTTCTGTGTGTTTTGCTGTGCGACTACAGTAGCAGCAGTGTCTTGTGCTTATTTTTTCTCATCAGGCCCTATGCATACAATTACCGGTATTCAAGAAAAAAACCAGGAAGGAGATTATAATATCAATAGTAAAGCCATTGCCGAGCCACCGTGCTCACAGCAGAGACTTCTGTGTGTGTTATTGTTGTGAAAGTGGACCACAAAGACGATCTACTCTTCACCCCGTACTCTGATCTTGGTCGAACACGTCAGTGCCAGTGACATTATAATCATCCCGCATTTGTACGCCGAATCGCCGATTCCCCAGTTGGAAAGCCCCGGGACCGGGAGCAAAAACCAGGAACATGTTCGAGGCCCGGAGGCCCGGACCCCAATTTTGCCCAAATCCTAGGCCGCTGACCTGGTGCCGGCCCCTGATATCCTGGCCTAACAGTAATGTAATACGTACCATCAAGAGTACATAACCATTATGTACCACACTATCGCTACCGGCTCAGGCACGCATCACCACAGTGTCCTCACAAATCGCCAGTGTTCCAGAGTGTTATTATTATTATTTTTTTTCTTTTCTTATTTTGTTAGGGATTTCCCAACAGGCAATGTTGCCTTTTTACTGGGAACCCTAAATGAGACTTTGTGTGAGCGCGAAACAAAGCAGGCGACCCGGCCAGGCGACAAGATGGAGGCAGCGCATTCCACCTGTCGGCACCAAGATACGCAATGGAATGGAAACCATACCGGGAGTGGCAGGCAGGCAAGACAAGAGCAGCTGTAGCTTGGCCCCGGGTTGTGGCAGCAGTATGTGGGCCAGTGCAGCAGGGAGTGAGTGAAGGCGGGGTGGCCCATGGCGGAATGAAGAGCAGTTCCCAAATCCCGATCCGACCATGTCCGCTCGGATTTATACTGTATCACTGAGTCCTATTTTACTAATGTCCAGCAGACTGGGTTTCCTGGATCCCACAACACTGGCAATACCGACAAATGCAAACCAAGTCACAGTGAAGTGTCGACATACACAATCACAAACACGGAAGTATGTTTGTAATTGTCTTCCAGGGAGGGAGGGAGGAAGGGAGGGAGAGGGAGAGAGAGAGAGAGAGAGAGAGAGAGAGAGAGAGAGAGAGACCAGTCCACACTGATGACTCGCACGATTGTACACTCACTGTGCATGTTCGATTTTTTTATTTTTTTCCGAAAAAAATCAAAACGTGTGCGTGCGGACGACGCGAAACATAGATATAAAAAATGATGGCCTTATAGTATCTTCAAGTTCAAAATGTTTCACGACCAATAAAGCAGTTTCTGCTGCATTTAAAATGGCCGCTCTGATTGGGTCAAAGCAAATAAATATATTACTGCTACCTAGGTTACTTAGTTCTCAGAACTAATACTCTGTTTCAAGTTTCAACTGTAGCAATTCTACAAATCCGCAGTTCGTAACCCGACACATACTCAGTGGCCGTGGGAAACTGTGGAGCTTAGCCAAGAAAGAAAGGCAGGACTGGGAAATTTGTTATTCCTATTCGGACTCCCTTTCTCGTGACAGTCCTGCTGCAGAGTCACAGTACAGGATGGAAGAGGAGAGGCCCCACCATTTCCTGCCGAACTGCTGGCTGGCTGGTGACTGCGATTGCACTCAGAGTCAGTGTGCGGGGTTGAGATCTCTTGTAGCATGCCTTGCATTTCCACAGATACATCCGCCGTGAGTTGCACAGCAGATGGCCCAGCCGTCTCACTGTTAATGGCTCGGTGCTGTGGCAGCGCATCCGGGCGGTGATCTGGATACATGGAGCGGGAACTGTGTAACACGTCCTCCAAGCCCTGCTCACTATTGGCCGGACTTGATGTGGGTTCTGAGTGAAATGCGTTTCCGAGGAATGCTGCTGCTAGCAGAGATTGAGCTTTTGCTCTTCCCAGCAGCAGTGATGGTGCAGTTGAGTGACAGACCGGTGAAGGATAGTCTGGCGAGTGGGATGGTAACCCTGTGGTATCATCCGAGCAATTGGCTGCGGCAATGTTGTGGCAGGCTTGCGGTGTGCACTTTCCGTGCAGATTGGGTGTAGACCCTTGCAGTTGTGCCGTGCTGTCTGCGTCAGAGGGGATCTCGATAGTAATATGCGGAGGCACACTGACGCCACTGTTTGACAGTGTGCTGCCTGTCCCTGGCATGGCGATGCCACTCTCAGATGAATCAGCATTGGGCTGAAGTGTGCCGGCATCATCAGCATCACACATGGCGGCGGCTATGTGCTCCTGCAACAGGTCATAGCCACTGCACTCTGCGTCACCATAACAAACAGGATCGGCAGTGAAGCCTTCCAACGCCTCGCGTACGCGCTCTTCCAGCTCATTATCACTACCCTGATCAGTGGTATCAGAAAATGCCATGCCAGTATATTCCTCTACTAATGTATTCATGTTTTCTTCATCTTCACAATTGCCGGGGATAGGCACTTGGTGGTCCTGAAGTTGAGGTGTACAACCATCAAACGATTCTACGACACCAACGCTTTGATTTGATTTGGCCTGTGGTGAACCTGTTGCCTCCAAGTCTGTTGTAGTTGGCACGTGTACATGTATATCGCCACCGCCACCACAATCAACACATGGATCGGCATTCTCATCGGATTCCGGGCACTCTTTAGGTAACCGATGGCCGTTAGCACTACAGCATGACAGTGTGCTCTGTGTTGTCGGTGATGAAATCTGCCCAGCAGCTGAGCTCAAATGCTGCATGCCCAGTATCAAACCGCTGTCACTTGGCGCATCACTTGATGGCATTGGCCGATCAGGCTGAGACCCTCTGTCGTTGTCACTTTCTTCAAATACCTCCATGAAGTCGTCTTTGTCAGGGTCTGAACCAGGACGTTCCGAGTCGGACAGTTCCAGCATCACTTTGCACTCCTGTACGGATCCTGCAGCACACAGTTTACGTGTCAAGTCCTTCATGTACTGTTGCAGCTCCGTGCATCCGCTAGCCTCATAGCAGTGCACAGGTCTTGTAGGTGTTGGCATTTTCCTTTGCATGAAGTCCAGAATGGTCTTATTTGATGAGGATCGCTCCAAGATTACGGGGATAACTGGGATGTTGCAGTCTGGGTCCGAAGTCAATTTCTTTACAAAGTTACTTTCATAGAAGGCCAGCTGTGAAGATGCATCGTCTAAAACTGCTCCGTCTTGCCTGCCCACCTTGCGCCACATCTTGACCAGTTTTGCAGAGGGTACGACAATTATAGCATCAACAGCTTGGTGCGTTTGCTCCTGAAACCAGCTCTCGATGTTGAACATGACCCGGTGCACGTCGTAGCAGGGCAGGGCGGCATAGATCCCGGCCTCTGTGAGCGCTTCGGCAAGCTTGAGTACGCGCTGCTGATGCTGTTCATTTAAGTTGCAATCGGGAAGATGATGTGCATAGCAGATGTAGACGGTGACCGCTCGCCCTGACAAGTATCGGCTACTGGCTATACCGGTAGCACGGCTGAAGCCCAGATCCAGATGTGTTAAATTACCGACGTCGGAGCAGGCAACAGAGAACTTGTCGTACGCAACGGTTTGGACTGGCATTTGTACGGACCCAGGCATTGAACGCTCTGTGTAGACAAACAGAAGTAGGTGCACCACAAACATGCACATGAACATACTGAGAAGTGGCAACTGAAATCCGACCCTCGGTTTTTATGCTCGAGTGCAGCACCAATTCCAGCGGTCTCTATCTGGTAATTTGCAAGCGCGCGCTGCAATTTTACAATGTGAGCGCGCCGAGCTGAGGTCAGATTTTGGTCGCCACCCCAGTACATCATCGGTGGCACAACGAGACAAGAATGTTTGTTTATGGGAATTGTGGGTGCTGTAAAAGCAGAAATTGTCGGTGGTGTAATATTTTCAGTATTCTCCAAAATCGGCGGTTCGGTGGAGGGAAATTCTCGGTAAACCCGTACACTTACCGAAGTTTTCGGTGTGTTTTATTTTAGGTGACAATTGTCGGCACCGAAGACGGTTACCGGAAATAAAACACCACCGAAAGTTTCTGCTTTTACAGTATGTCGGTCTCTGCCAGCAGCAGTTGTCTCTCGGAACTAACTTTTGCACCAGGCTCACTTTTCCAAGAATGTAACTCCAGAGATCCAAGGTTGCCTCTCAACTTAATACAAATTTCCAGGTGGCTTTCCATTTCCAGAATACAGTCAGCCTCATGAATAACAACCTCGGCAGGCGCGTGCCCCGTATGGGTTCCTGGGTGCCCGGAACCCCCCTTTTTTGCTCAAAATGCAGGATTTTGCTTCATTTTTGAAACATTTCCCGGGGGAGGCCCCCCAGAACCCCCCCCCCTTGAAGGCCACCGGCGCACGCGCCTGCTTGGGTACAACGACAATTCGCGAATAACGACACAATCTTCCGATCTAGTGACAGTTTGACTGCATACTTTCAAACCTCCAGGATAAGGACAATTCATGAATAGCGACACTTTTTGCATGCACGGCTGAGGGGCGTTGTCCGCAAGGTCGACCGAATGTTAACAATTATTGTTGTTATCCTTCCGGACTGGATGCTCTTGCGCTCCTTGATTTTGGAACCCAGGGCCTAGTACAGCTGACTGTGTATGTATAGGCATACTCAATACCAGTTGCCATCTCCGTCACCATTTAATTTGCTGTCTCCTTGCCATATATACATACCTAAATGTACCCACACCCAGTCACACCAAATGCAACCATCTATATGTACTTCGAAGTAGAACCAGTGTATGGGAAAAGGACCTCGAACATGAGCATGTGTAGAAACGGATGATCCTCGCACACAACTACGGTAGATATATTACCACTGTCGCTGTTACATCATACAACGTACTGCCGCTACACGTCACTGCAACGCAAGCATATAATCACTGCAATACCTGCACTCATTTCTAGGTGCATCCACTAGCTTTGGGGCAGTTGGGTGATAGTCAACGTCCCGAAGTTCATCATTGGCATGCGTCTGTGACCAATATCTACATGACTACAGTCAATTCCGCTATAACGACTGCGGATATAACGACAATTCGCGAATGACGACAGAATTTCCATGTCCAGAGCAAAGTCCCACCCAACTGTAATACATAAAAATGAGACTTCGGGTATAAGGACACATCGCGAATAAGGACACTTTTCTGATGCCCCGCCGCCGAGTGTCGTTATACGCAAAGTTGACTGTAGTCTTCTGTTTGGACTCGGCTCTTTGCATCCACTAGGTAACGTATTTTCCCGATTATAAGTCGCGCCCCCATTTTCAGGTTTGAACAATACTGTTTTTGATATATTGACTTCAGTAGTAACTCATGCTCGATTGTAAGTTGAACCCCTTTTTTACCCTGGATTTTTGTGTAAAAAGGTGCGACTTATATTCGGGGAAATACGGTACGCCAAGACAAATAGGCACAGCTCTCAGTGAAGTCAGTGAAGTGCATCATGGCTGGCTGCACTTACTCTGGTAGGTGCGGTATTGTGCAACAATAAGGACAAACACAATGAAACCGGGAACGAGGGCGGACACGAGAACGGTCACCAGGCCGTAACCTTCGGCAGCAGGCATTGCGGTCACTTCCGTTCCAGTTGTGTTTCTCATTTCCGTTGCTATCGGTGATGGAGATGCAATGAATACTGACGATGTGGAACTAATAGGTGCAGGAAAAACTGGCGATGGAGATGGTGTGGCTGCACGAAAAGCATGGCACACAGCCAAAAGTCAAATCACATCCTGTTTTCTGACTCAACTGGATTTTCAGTACAGTAGCTTCACTTCCTCCAACTGATGAATATTCACAGTAGCCTGAATTGGTTAAAATGGCAATGCTGTACACATAACAAATTGAGGTTTTGACTACCATTTTCGCCAGCCGATCCCTGGGGGAATATTATTTCAACCCCACAAATTTCCCGATGAGTTTCTTGAGAGCCTGGGGAGCTTTGGGGAGGGGGAGGTAGTACTTCCACCTTACAATCTGTAGCGGAGACGACTGTAGATAAGCCACTAGCCCCCCCCCCCCCCCCCCCCCCAATCACAGATACCCGGCACCATCCAGTTTTCAAACCTGCAACTGAGGTCTTGTTGATAGCACAACTGAACCTGTGATTTTGTTGATAGCACGACTGTGCATTTATGCACAGTCGAAATGCACAATACAAAGAATAACAATTACATTATTCACCACTGCTTGAGTGATCAGAGGGTTGGCTCTAATGCTGGAAAATAGACAACACCCAGCAACAGCACCAGAACTGGACACCCACTGTGGACTGGTACACTATGCACACCATGTATGTACACCATGTACACCATGTACACCATGTACACTATGTACACCATGTAGTGTGACTGACCGTTGCTAGCACTGGCATTGCTGTCTTGGCTGGTGCAGTTCTCAGGACCACCATCAAGCTGGGGCAGACATGGCGGTTCAGTGGTGCTGATTACAAGGGTGTGATTAACCAGTGGATGTAAGCACCCCTCTGTGATCATTGCAGGAGAGCCATGGAGCTGCATCGGTATGACCTGGGCAGCCACGAAAGAGGAGAGGGGAAGGAGACGGGGGGGGGGGGGGGGGGGTAGAGAGAGCCGCAGAGAGAAAAGGAGAGAGAGAGAGAGAGAGAGAGAGAGAGAGAGAGAGAGAGAGAGAGAGAGAAAGAGCATTGTTGCTATATCCAAGGTTGCTACATGTATATATCCAAGGTTGCTATATCCAAGGTTGCTATATCCGAGGTTGTTATTTGCAAGGTAACTGGTTGACTGTAGATGTTCAAACCACAGCCCAACAAGTCAGTAGCTGCAAGCTAGCACACAGTAGATACTATGCATCGCATTATCACCAATAGTGGCAATACAATCGAACACAAAGAAGTGCAATCAAACACAAGACCGTCAAGGTGAATTTCGAATTGCACGATAGATCCTGGCTAGGATGCCCAGTGGTGTCAGCTCCAAGTTCTCAGCCTCGGGCAACATCGTGAAAGAAAGATACGGAATACTAAATTGGTAAGCTCAGCTCTGGTCGATGTGTATAACAATTTAAATGTTCTGCATGACGACGACACCCGTCGCCGTACTATGCAGGATTGTGTATATAATCGTACTGCGCAGTGCGTTGAGAAATTACACACAGCATCGAGTCAACCAGAGCTGAGTTTACCAATTCATACGGTACGCTAGCATTCTGTATCTTCGTACATGAGTGTCAGCATGCAGAACATATACAATGTCATGTTATTGTACCAGTGTCGTTACTTCAATCGTGCAGCACTGAATATGCACAGTCACACATCCACTGGATATGTCCACGTGCATGTGTGCATATTCTGCACATACACCAGTTAATCTACAATGACTGTAATGGATGGTCGTCTAATGAGGGGGGGGGGGGGGGCACCTTACATTTATGCAAAATAATTTCCCTGGCAAGATGTCATCCACAATGATGCTGCTGGAGTTTACCTGCATGGAGAAACACGAGGCAGGAGAAATAATTTTGGCGATACCTCTATTGATTAAGTAAAAGTGGTGAGACGTCCTGCTCTTACTGACAGGGGAGTTGGCCTTTACCCGGCAATGCTGGTTCAATTGAGAGCTTGCACATCATTGTGAACCTGATGAAGGCAATTTGCCGAAACGTTGTAATACTGTGAAATGAGTTGAATTAGAGCGTGTGGGCTCTACTCTTGAGTCTTAACCTCCATTGATGCGGCTGTTTTTTTACAGTTTGATTTGCATTAGCACCTTCTTTGTCTCTCTCCCTACCTCTCTCTACCTCTCCCTACCTCTCCCCACCTCTCCCTACCTCTGCCTACCTCTCCCTACCTCTCCCCACCTCTCCCTACCTCTCCCACTTGCCAATATTGGTGTTACCAGGCTGAGCCTGGCATTTTTCATCACGAGTACAACGGTTACATTGATGTGCCGTGCAGTGCATTTTCCATTTTAAAGACGGGCAAATTCTGGGACGGGATTAAAATTTGTGAAGATCGTAACTGCTGATGTTCTGACCCGGCATAATACACTGGACTACATGTGGTCACTTGAGACACTACGCACCACCATGCACTGCGTTCCTGTTCAAGTAGGTACACCTAGGACTTCACCGCTGCTATCATGCAACTGTTCCTCATGATACCCTTCAGAAAGGCCCTGTTCATCCAGACCATCTGCAGCACCCCACCCACATGCAGTTGTTACAATAGGATTTCGGAACGTGATAGTGAATGCCATGTAAGTGTGATAGGGAGTGTAATGTTAAGCCAGTGCAGTGAGCGTGGTCGTTGCATGGAGCTTACAGGTGCTTTCAATTCAATGTCACCATCTGCTTGGTCGTCACAGCCGTACGTCAGCGCCACCTTGATGTGTCTGGGCATGGTTTTCGACTTCCAGGCTTCAACGGGGCGTGTGAAGGAAACGTTGACGCTTGTGTCTGAGACGGTTCTCACAGAAACGTTACTGACAGGTCGTGCACCTATGCAATAACCACACAGGAGAATGATTTGAGTGCAACTAGATAACATTAGACGCTCTCAGAGAGAGAAAGAGAGAGCGAGAAGAGAGAGAGAGAGAGAGAGAGAGAGAGAGAGAGAGAGAGAGAGAGAGAGAGGGGGGAGAGAGAGGGAGAGAGAGGGAGAGAGAGGGAGAGAGAGAGAGAGAGAGAGAGAGAGAGAGAAAGAGAGAGAGAGAGAGAGAGAGAGAGAGAGGAGAAAGAGAGGGAGGGAGGGAGGGAGGGGGAGATATATAGATACTATGCCCGCTACTTTTCGTAGTTTGAGCACTCTGGCGCTAGAGCGACGAGCTATCTTAATGTCTGTGGTGCGTCCTTTGCACCATGGCTGGTAGCTCGGCCTATTTAAAACTTGTAGCTGCACTGATGAGGCATTTATGGCCGAAACAGCTTGCTGTCTACATCATTGGGTATGATGCTCCTCGACATGCATCATGTTGAGCACTCTCGGTAGGCTGCAGCTGCATTGGGCATTGCCTGCTACTTTTCGTAGTTTCAGCACTCTGGCGCTAGAGCGACCTTGTTAAAGCCCGTAGCTGTACCGATGAGACATTTATGGCCAAAACAGTTTGCTGTCTACATCATTGGGTAGAAAGATAAATAGATAGATAGATAGATAGATAGATAGATAGATAGATACATATGCTGTCTGATGAAGTGTTTTGACACGAAACTCGGAGTAACAGCGGAAAGTGACTTGTTTGATTCATTGCTGTGTAATATTTGTATTACTTGCTCTGTCCAGTGGGCATTGAGCACTGTAAGCAGCCTAGGGACTTTAGACATCTGTCATTGGGTAGATAGATAGATAGATAGATAGAGAGAGAGAGAGAGAGAGAGAGAGAGAGAGGGAGAGAGAGAGAGAGAGAGAGAGAGAGAGAGAGAGAGAGAGAGAGAGAGAGAGAGAGAGAGAGAGAGAGAGAGAGAGAGAGCAGAGCTGGACCAAATCAAGCTACCAGGCATGCTCCTACCGATAGACGTCTCCAGAAAGGTCAAGAAGCCATGCTCATCCCGACCAACTGTAGGCATAGGGCAAGAAACAGACACATGATAGGAACTGATCACCGACAATCATAATACAAAATAATTCTTGCATTGTCACTAGAGTTGGAGTTCATCACATGGAAAACTAATCTGTACGGCCCTGACACTTGGATTCCCACACCAGTCTGCTTCGCTGAGTTGATGAGCTACTCCTGAATAAGTCATTCCCATTTTTGCTCTAAGGATTCTCCAGAAGTAAACGGTTACTGTGAGATCAGATCATGAGTACAGGTCTCTCCATATAACGTAATCTCTGGGACCACGCAAAAAATATGTTATATCGAGAGTTATGTTATGTAGAAAACCGTGTGTAAAATACAAGATGCACCTCAAAATGAAGGGTATTACAAGGCGGGTTCAACCGTGCAAACATATACACACTGTACCACCATCGACATCAGATACCATCAATGCCGCAGAATATATGCACAATAAGACTAAACTGGCTAGCTACGGCTACAGCTTGATTGTACCGCGCACGTGAATCTACGTTGTATCGAGAGTGCACACCGCCGTAGCGTGTGTTATGTCGAGGTTTATGTTATGTAGGATTATGTTGTGTAGAACAAAATTTGTATGGGAGTGATGCTGTTTCGGCGCGGGATTTGATTTTTTATGTACTAGCGAGGTTTATGTACAAGTGAGAGTTGTTATATCGAGAGCAGACCTGTAGCAGGAGCCGACTGAACATTGCAATGTGCCTTCCAATACTGGTATGCATCACACTACACTGGCGACATAACAGTACTGAGTACCACTAACATCAAGAGTATAACTCCCAAAGAGTGCGCAACTCTGCATATGGGTCTCTGACGGCGAAAACTCACGTCACGTGTCTCAGGTACGTTCGTACTACGTACAAACGAAGGATAGCGTGCGCGCAATCCGAATATCTGCCATAATCATGCTGGGGATTTGCATACCCGCCGTGAGTTTCTGTCAGAGAGTGCTTTTTATTACTCCGCTGCTCGCTAAAAACAGGCAGGAAACGTACAACTGTGACACTGCACCACGTGATGTGAGTTGTCGCCGTCGCCCTACCCCATAGAAAGGGTATCAGGAGTTGCAAACTCTTGGGGGGGGGGGGGGTTATATACTCTTGCTAACATACGTACATGTTCCATGTTTGCAAATTCAGTTCGTGGAATTCAAAGACCACGGCAACCCCACTTGAAGTCTGAAACAAATAGCTCATTTTACCGTCAAGTCCAGGCTTCTCTAACAGTGTGGTGAGTGCACGAGGAAAGCAAATGGAGACCTTTCGCATGCCATGATGAAACGGGTACAACTTGATACGAATCAATCGGCCGGGAGTAGTTGACGAATACACGTGGCTTTCTACAGAGCTCGTACAAATCCCAAAACCCAGTAAACGAATGCAACGCTGATTCTACTGTGGATAAACTGATAGGTGATGAGTGTACTAACGTTTGCCATTGCAGATAGCTTGGCAACTGCTCCAACTGCAGAAGAGCAGGAATATCATTAGAATTGGACCAGGGTACCTGCTGCTGGACACCTGCAGTAATGAATTACACAGAAGTGTGTGCGTGCGTCCGTGTGTGTGTGTGTGTATGTGTGTGTATGTGTGTGTGTGTGTGTGTGTGTGTGTGTGTGTGTGTGTGTGTGTGTGTGTGTGTGTGTGTGTGTGTGCGTGGGTGCGTACGTGTGTGTGTGAGTGTGTGTGTTTGCCAAGCCGGTACAGATCATGCGTCAGTGCAATCAAGTACACACACACACACACACGCACACACGCACACACGCACAAACACACACACACACACACACACCATACCACATACACCACACCACGCATACAGTAGGTGAATCAAAGCACATGCGCTTGGAAATTTTCATTCATTCTCTGCCACTCACTGGTGGCTGTGGTTGTCACGGATTGCTGATAACAGATGTAGAAAGCGAGTGATCTAGATCCGTCAAGACAATAGGCTCAAAGAGAGGGTTGCATGGGCTTCTTCCCCAGCGTTTTTGATTATAACCACAAAGCCTGGACATCACCAGAACCACTGCTCGCAGAGAAATACCGCTAGTATCGCTAGTATCGCTAGTATCGGCAACAAGGCATCATCAATTCGGAATCGACACCTCGCCACGACATTCCGCTATTCTGCAAATAGTGTGCGGGTCCGTCGCCCCAGCCCCACTGCACCTGCACCTTACCTGCAAACCCATCGTCTTCTCCCTCGCGCTGCTGCTGCTGCTCTGCTCAAACAGCGCCATTTGCAATGTCGGAAATAGCGCCCGAAGAAGTGTCGGCTGTCCGCGTCCTACTCCACCGCATTCCGTCTTTGCCCTGCACTCAGCGGCATCGCTTCTTACGCCACATAACTCCTCAGTCTAGTTGACGATTCTTTGGAATTAGCCACACGCATTCGATTCAAGGAGCTTCCGTGGACGAGCAAAGAGGACAAATGATCGCTTTCCTATTTTGTCGTCTGAATAAAAGTTAAAAACTGCTCTCCATACCGCCGCAGGGAACGAAATATTCACAACCGGATTCGAAAAATGGGAAGGTAGATCTACCGACCTGTGTCTGTGAGTTTCGTTTATTGTTTGTGTGCGCGCAAGTGACTAGTCCGAGTAGTCGGGTGTGTGACCCTCCATCGATTTTGACGTGGCTGAGTGACCGGGAACGTCAGCACGACAGCGGGCGCACGTGGTGAGCAGCGCTATGTTGACTTCGAGGAAGAGAGTGTGGAATGATCCATACCACGGCTCCTTGGCTGGCTTGGGGTAAATTATGTCATGACCTTTTGTCTGGACAGTCATGTAGATCTACCGGTAGATTCGACAATCATCAGCACAGTCGTGTCGATATATGATTATGACTGCATTACCTCTATCCTTATTACATCCCTCCCCAATTTCATTAATTACTGCTTTCTATCTGCATTCGCAACCTTTTCATTGGGCAGATCTGCCCGTTTGGTTTGCAAACACAACAACAACATTATTATCTACGACAGTAGACTACGAGCATAGATCATCAAGATAACATCAACCCATTTGTCATCCATCACCACGATTACCAAAGCAAGGCAAGGCAGGATCACAAAAGTACATGACAACCAAATGCAGTAGACCAAGGACTGGTAGACCATTGTAGACCTAGATTGTCCTTCAGCTACAACTACTTAGTACAAGTTAGTTACTTTGAAGTAGTGTTGGCATAGACACTGGTAGAGACTAGAGAGCAGGGAGTAGTACGATACTACTCCCTGCTAGAGTCGGAGACGTGGCAAGGCCCGGGAACCAGGTAAGTGGAATGCTTACGGCAGTGCATTCTCGGTCTCCCCCACCCCATCTGGTGACAGTCTCTGGTTGTCCCGCCACGACCCAAACCAGGAAAATCTTGACAGCACGACGCTGCATGTCTGTCACAAAGTCAATGACATTATGTCTTCGTGGTCGTCGTGCGGAGAGCTCAGCAGATCATGTGCAGATCTACGAGTACAACCTAGCCTTGATGAACCGGGTTCGTGGAGCTCCGGAGTCTACCAGTGCGGCAGTGGTCTACCGTGGTCCACTAGCCGCAGGTAGTTTTGAGCTAGCGCAATCCACAGACACGGGCACAGTACATGTCTACCGGTACCACATACAAATCGTAACCAGGTAGATCTACATGTAACTAACGGGTCATGCTACTGCAAGTACTGGTACTAGACACGAGAGCGGCTGAGCTGATTGACGGCGATGACAGGAATAGCGTCCGTCACACATGACTGTTCCGGTGACGGTCAGACACGAGGCCAAGTCCGATACGAGGTGATGTTTCAAACTACACATGTATCGCCACGTCTACAACATTGATGGAGGCGCTAGGCTAGTAGGCAGCCTGGTTTACCGATTAGTGCATGAATGTCCGCCTGTTTCGCCTTCCCGAGTGCCAACCCACAGAGAAGAAGACGACTTAGCGCATGGATATGCATGTCGTCCGGTCGAGCAATGTGAAATCTTCGCGATCCCCTCTCTAAATCTAATGTTTGTTAGGCGTTGTCATACGCCTGTGAAGCGGGGGAAAGCCGATTGCCGTCGAGATAGAGTGCAGGCGGGAAGGAAGTAGGATCTAGGAGTCGTTCCCAGCACAAAAAGCTATTGGCCTGCCAGGTATTGGCCATTCAGCGAACCACAATGTGATCATTGCGGACGGCCGGCGGCGCTCGGAGTCAGTGAAGGATGCATATGCAGGAGGTACGTGGCTCATGATAATGGCGGTCATACGCTTGCGAGCTCGTTGATATTTGCACCGTTTGTTTCTGTAACTCGTTCTTGTAGATTAGAAGCTAGAAACATAGCCACCATCGCCATGTGATGCGTATGTGTATGGAGTACATGGAGTGGAAACCATACGAGTTCTAGTTTTGTACATGTATTGGGATTTGAATGGCAGCTTTGTCTGGAGTCAGGGGCAAACCATGCACACACTGGCACAGCGAGAGTTTTGCCACTGGACCAGGGTGGCAAGCCAGTGCTTGCATGCCATGGCACCACTTCTTTGCCACTCCATGCAAATACTAAGTACAGTGGTCCCTCTATAATCCGGCACCATTTGTGCCACGAAAATCTGCTGGAGGGTGCTGGATTAACAAATCTGATTTACTGCTGCAATGTGCATGAAGAGGACATTTTGGCTACTGAAAATTGTGCTGGTTTATCGAGGGTGCTGGATTATAAAGTGCCGGATTAGAGAGGGACGACTGTATCTCGAATGAAAACGTTATCGCCCGACCTCCGTACGGGTATGAGTGCGACACTGCTGGCACTCACTGACACTCTGCGTTCACTGATATACATGATAGCAAGAGTCCATAACCCAAGAGTATGCAACTGTGATCTCTTTTCTATGGGCCAACCGCGCGGCGCGCTGCCTTCATTACATCATTCAGCTGCAGTCCGCGCACTGCGGAAAATCAAACACCGCACTTTCCCTCTAGTTTGAAATGAACTTTCGTACGGAACTGGAGTTCACGCGCCAGAATTCAGAGATTGTGTAGGTACTGGAACGAATCGAGCAAAAACGGATGGGCTCGTGCGAGAAATTGAGAGTTTGAATGCATGCTTTCAGAGCGTGATGAAGGCAAGTTACGTAATGAAGGCAGCGCGCCACGCATGCACCCATAATCACAGTTGCATACTCTTGGGTTATGGACTCTTGATGATAGACCAGCACCCTGCAGGCTGCACTGTCGTACTAACTCTCGTGACTGTACATGTGCATGCAGAGCTGATGAACCAGTTACCCAGCCAGCTATGCCCTTCACTTCTATTATTGTTCAATTTACTTCGAAGTATGTAACCATGGCAACTTAGTGCAGTGTGGCAACACCTATTTTAGTAGTATTTATACCCGCCCATTTGTGGGAAGGTAGATCGCATCTGATGATTTTGTGACCCATAGTCAAGCCTGACTGCACGAGAGGGAGGTAACGTTGTGAACTTGTCATGGCAAAGGCAGTGCTCATCTCCCCCGTAGCAGCCTGCACCAGCACCGGGTACCCAAATCCCAGATCGTCCTCGGACAAGGGCGGAAATTATCTTTCAACTGGGAGTCAAACTTGCAGCTCCATGTTTGGGAGGACCAATGCTCTACACAAGGACATGCCCGACCTTTGTTTGCCAAATCCACATACTGTGTTTTCCCAAATATAAGTTGACCTTTTACGACCTAAAAACGGAACTAAAACGGGGTAGTCGACTTACAATCGGGGTTTGACTGCCATTAAACCTGGAAATTGAGGTCCCAAGTATGGGGTTTCGACTTATAAACGGGAAAATATGGTACTACTTGTGCCAGCAATATGTTCACATTTGCCCGTGGGCCGTAGCTTGGTGGGAAAATCCTTCCGCTAACAAACGGCACTTGAACCTGGTGCCTCCGCTAAGTTATTTCTTAGTCACGACTTATCTTAAATCATCCGCTGTACCTCTGCCTGCATGTGTTAGTGGCTAAGCCGATCTTACGCCTTATGTGCTTGTGGTGAATTGCATGCCGTAACAAACAGGTACCGCGTCGTCACTTCGCTGGGCTGGCTCCGGTCTTCTTGGCTGTGCTGCTGCTGTTCAGCTGTTGTAGGGAGAGCACTGCATGCAACTCGATATGTAAGTAAATGCACAGTGTGTGTGTGTGTGTGTGTATGTGTGTGTGCATGTGTGTTTGTGTGTGTGTGTGTGTGTGTGTGTGTGTGTGTGTGTGTGCGCGCGCGCGCGCGTGCGTGTGTGTCTATGTACATGTACATGTTGTTTGTCACTTGGTCAACGCACCTGTGCACCAAGACGCATATCCAGGTCCAGAATAAGGTTAGACTATTCACGGTCCAGTGCACTAAGAGGTGAGCAAGCTACCAATCCAGTAGTGAGCAACTTGGAAGGACCTGTAACAGTAACATCTTAGATACGGGAAACAAGGGAAACTCATGAATATTAAATTTTACAACAGCTTCTCTCAGCCGCTGTACAAGATAATTTTCATTTTGTTTAACTTCGGGGTTTTATAGAGGTGGCTCTGTCTCTTTGTTTCAAGCTATCCACGACTAATTTTAGACTGACAACCGGTGCTTGTGAAATCATGCACTTTCTTTCAGTAATGCACAACGGGCCTGTTGTGGAGGCCTCAGTCTTCATTTTGGTTTGACATGCTTGTGTATCTCTCCATTTTTTAAATGTGAAATACCCTCCCTCGTTCTCTCTTTTCCCTTCATAGATACCAGGCCTGTTAGCAATGTCACCATACGAACTACTGGTGCAAGTGCCATCGGAATAACGTACACCATCCCAGTCGAGGAGTGGAAGAAACTAACGCCGCAGCACATTCGCATCGAACTCTCATATGAAAATGCACTGTACTACGACAGGTCGAAGATACTGGATTTAATTCCGGTACGTACTTTAGCATGTTCATTCACATTCTTCATCATTTGTGAGAACTAGACCTGGTCTAGTGAGAAGGCATTCTACTGCCTGTAATTCTGGTGAAGTAAAATAAAGTAACAACAACAACAACAACAACAACAACAACAACAACAACAACAACAACAACAACAACAACAACAACAACAACAACAACAACAACAACAACAACAACAACAACAACAACAACAACTCTTCCTCACTCTTTCTCCTTTCTTACACTACTATCTCTTATTGGCCACTGGCTATCGTGAGAAAAAAGATTTGAAACAACAACAACAACAACAACAACAACAACAACAACAACAACAACAACAACAACAACAACAACAACAACAACAACGATGGTGCCATCGTGAGAATAAAGAATTCAACAACAACAACAACAACAACAGCGTACACTAGTCCACATCCTCTTTTTTGTCTTACAATATGGCTGCCCGCAACCAACCCTGCACTAGTTATGGCTGATGTGAGGTGTGAGAAAGAATGTAAATGCACTGTACTGCAGCAGGTCGAAGACACTGAAATTAATTCTGGTACATACACTAGTCGACATCATGTTGGAACAATCATGGCATGCGAATACTCACCTGTACTTCAGCGCATACTTGAACAGGACCAAATGACACGGTCACACCCACCAACACTGTAGTCTAGGAGCAGTTGCTCTCTCTCTCTCTCTCTCTCTCTCTCTCTCTCTCTCTCTCTCTCTCTCTCTCTCTCTCTCTCTCTCTCTCTCTCTCTCTCTCTCTCTCTCTCTCTCTCTCTCTCTCTCTCTCTCTCTCACTGTCTGTACGTCTGTGTTTCTATGGTGCAGATTAACACCAGCAGTGTTGTGGTCACGGGAATAGTTCCAGGAGAACGGTTCAATGTCAGGGTAAGCTTCTAAGCTCTAACGCGGAGGGAACACCACTGATACAATCCTGGCTCCCACACTTGTGACCACCCTTGCCCTATTTTGCACACGGGAGGTTTTCATTTTCAATACAGGGGCGTAGGATGGGGTTTTGGAAGTGGTACGACCGAAGGTCGGTGCGGCCGAAGGTCGGTGCGGCCGAAGGTAGGTGCGGCCGAAGGTCGGTGCGGCCAAAGGCCGTGTTGGAGGGGGGTCCGGGGACCTCCCGCGGGAAAAATTTGTAAAAAGACACAAAATCCTGCGTTCTGGGAACTTCTGGCGCACTTCTGGCGCAGTGTACATGTAGTGTGCAGTCGAGTCGAGTACAGTACTCGTACTCAGTACGACTGCAGATGCATAACAGATCTACGAATACGAGTCTAGAAAAAGGTCAAAGTCTGATGCGCATATGCATCGGTGGATCCTGATTTTTTTTATTACGGTTTTGCACGTTTCGGACGGACCACACTTTTCGAAAAGTGGTACGGCCATGGTCGTACCAGTCGTAGCGGGTGCTACGCCCCTGCAATAATGGCGGACGGCCTCTTATCAGTCCAATTCTTGCGCTGAAGTGAACCAGCAAGCCTGCAGAGTGTCGAGTCCACAGCTTTGCACATACCGTTTTATCTCCATTATAAGCGGCTCCGGGCATGGAGTTTCCAACTAGTCTGGACTCTGGGCTTCTACCAGAGACTGGGCTTATAATTTTTCATCCATCTGGTACATGTACGTTTGTTAATCTTTTTTTGTTATACCAGTAGCACTCATTCTACCAGTAACACAAAGTTTCCCAGCAGATACCGTGAATCGGGCAGTTTTGTACTTCCTGGTGTACTGAGTCTGTACGCGGGATCACGGGGGTCACGGGGATCACGGGGATCACGGGGGTCACGGGGATCACGGGGGTCACGGGGATCACGGGGATCACGGGGGTCACGGGGATCACGGGGATCACGGACTTGTGCCACAATGTGTGTATATGATACTGTGTGACGTCGAACATGCATGGACATGATCCATATACATGTACTATGTAGTTCTCCGTTGTACATGTAAGCCCAGCGGTTATATTGGAGACTGAGCCTGTATATCTTCGAAGCCCTCTTGGAGTGCGCATGTAAAAGAGATACATAAAATACTGTATGCTAAATGGCTTGCCGGGATGAAAGCATATCTCTATGTTCTAGCCTATGGAAAGAGAAAAGCATATTCAAAAATAGCCATGGTGCTTTTATTTTGAAGGTTGCTGTCACGATCGATTACCCCACCAGCTCGAGTTGGGCATGGTTAGGTGAGAAGATAAAAGTGAGTCATACTTATCATCTGTGGAAGAAGCCGGTGTACCATTGCGCAAACCCAATATAATTCTTATGGTGTTCCCTGCTTATGGATATTCTGTCTGGTCATGCCTAAGTGCATATCTCCATGCTTATTTGCTTATCACCAGGTGCGGCAATTTCAGTACATAAATCGGAATGGACGTTTGGACCTTCAAGTCGGGTGCATACCAAAACCGCTCAAGGTGGGCTACATGATTGCAGGTAAGTCACACTCTAGCCTAATAGAACATCAATCCAAAGCAGAACTTGGCCGGAATGAACAATTTCACGGAATGCTGAGTGCCATGGGGACGGTGCCACCATTTTCATGACAATTTGGTGGCCAAAATCACTCTGGCAGCGTAGTATACCTGAGCATTCGTTAACGTCCAACTGGAATGTTACATTTTGTCACCCGAGGAGGCAGTTGCGGTATCCGACCTCGGAAAGTAGGGCACCATTTTTTTAATATCAAGAAGCCCCCTCCCCTGCACACATGCACACGTCACATACCTATCAAGCTAACCAAAGCTAAGTGGCGATGTTAAAGTACCTCGCTCAGCCGTCTCGCAGGAGAGCAGGATAAGCTTCATGGTTTCCATGGTTGCCAGTGTTGATGTATCTAGGCAAGAGTACATGAAAACCAGAGTGTGCAGCTCGGATGGGTTGCTGTCACGGCGAAATTCCGTGATTACATCATTTTAGTGATGTAGTGCGTACAAGCAGGATTCAAGCAGGTCTCTTTCTGCACAACTGCAGCTCAGTTGTACGCACTACGCCATTTCCCGCCTCAGATCTGGGCCAAATATGATGTAATCACGGAATTTCGCCGTGACAGACACCCATAGCAGAAAAGGCCCCAAGCTGCACACTCTGGTTTTCATGTACTCTTGATCTAGGTGCTGTGTGTACCGGCATAGCCATTGTCGTTCATACTTTTAAAACAGGTTGTTCCTTGTACATACCCAGGTGTGAGATACCTAGGGTAAGAGCTAAACAGCATCCCATCGTTTGTGTAACAGTGTGTGTACCTCGCAAGGCTGCATGCTAACCTGTGCATGTGCATGTACACCTACTCGAAGTATGAGTCATGTCACCTATATTTCCCCTTGTGGCCTAAAACTATGAGTAATGGATTTTCTCTCCAACAATAAGGTTAAAACAATAGTGTCTGGACGGGTAAGAGATTGTCTCTGGTTTGGTTCTCTTTTGTTTGGCTGCTTTCGCACATGGTGATAATGATGATGTAACCGTGCTGTCTGCTGGCACAGTGGTGGGAACGTGGACGGACTGGTCTGTGCTTCGGCCGTGTGCAAGCACACTGGCATGCAACGAATCGCACCGTGATGGTCTGAAGGTGCGCGGCTGCCAGCCACCACCGTTCATGCCTGCTCTCGAGGACAGCTGTCCTGGAAATGCCACAGAAGAGATCCCGTGTCCTCCTGCTAATCGATTGAACTGTACCAGTGTAGACACAGGTAAGGATACATAACCGCACCATGTTGACAGACTAACTGGAATTTCACAAATTTTCGGTGTACTTCTATTTTCGGTCCTTTTGGGGCACCTCTTTGATTCCTTCAATCTCAATAGCTGCACAAACGCTGACACAAACCATCCAAATAGGGAACTGATTCTCTTTGTGCCTGTGTTTGATACCACCTTCCGACTTGTCCTCCGTCTTATTCTGCAGCAGGCCGGAATATCTCAACTCCTGCGGAAACATACAGTGGTGATGGGTACGGCCTGTTGACAGTACTAGCATCCGCTCTTGTTCCCGGAGCTGTCGTTTTCGTATTGCTGATCTCGGTCTTCTGCTTCTATCAGAGTGAGTGGACACTTGTGCGGGCAATGTGTCATGAGACTGGGCACTGCACTGTGCCCGTAGTGTTAAATTGTTTAGTAACTTTTAAAACCCTTTGCTGCCCATTAAAATGTACTGTATAAGCAGAAAATTTCGTCGGTCAATAATTTCGTCCAACTCCAAAGAAAGGGAGTTCGTCCGGTTGTAAATTTCGTCCGGTTGTAAATTTCGTCCATGGATCATAAGAGTGTATTGAAAAGCTGGACAAATTAATATTAGTCCAGCATTTAATTTAGTCCAACAGCTCGTTGGACGAAAAAGACGAAATTAAATTCCAGGCGAATATTTCTGCTTGTACAGTATACGTTTTCGGCATTCCCAGACCAGCAGGAAGACAATTACTCATAGCTCCAACACGAAGCATATTGTCGAATGTAAACCTATAGATATATTTCCGGAACCAGTATATCCCTAGGAATCTAGCGAACTCAATTTGATCGACATGTCGCTTTTCCAGTGCTCTGTCGAACCGATAGACGTGTGTCGGTTCAAGTATGCGTGTGCAGCAAAGGGTTACAAACAGTGCAGTTCTCCATGAAGACAGTACTGTGTTGCCTGGATTGTAGGTCGCTATTTCATTTACAGGTTCTCGTATACCAGCAGTTTTAGTGAGTTCATTTGAACCGTAAGTCGTACTCAATTGTAAGTTGCAATTCAGATGGAATGCGGCTAGTTCTCCCAACTCTGGCTGATTTCACTGTCAAAATCGTTTCTATGGTGACACAAAACTATCATGGACGCGGTGACGATGTTGCAACGTTGAACGCGAAGTATGCACAGCAGCTGCAGCGCCCCTTCTTTTGGTTTTGGGATATATTTTAGAAAGGTGTGACTCATATTAGGAGAATACGACATGTACTGATAATTGGTTCAAAACTGAGCAAGGAGAGGCACCCTGGCGGAGCCAAGAGGCAAGAGGACATTTCTGGGGTGGAAAGGAGTGACTGTGGATGCATAGGTACAAGAGAGCGCATGTGGGGGGGGGGGGGAGGGGGTGTATAATTATCACCATTCGTTGTCAATTTGTGTTGACCTTCAGACTTGAGAGCTCTACAGTTGAGGGTAGAGCAAAGTGGGTTTGTATTGAAGGGACTACTACGTTAGTATATGTACACCAACCTCTGTCCATTTGTGAATGCATTTTACGTGTCTTTGTGTGTGTGTGTGTGTGTGTGTGTGTGTGTGTGTGTTTGTGTATGTGTGGTGGCATGCACAAACCGTGACATGGGATCCTTGCAGAGTGGAACAACCCGGCAGCGGAGGCGCCACCCGTACAGACTATCGCCATGGACAGGTACTCGGTAGCATTCTCTGACGTCGGGAACCTGACGCACCTAGACCTGAGCTTCAGTCGTGCGACGGGTATTGCCAGTAGCCAGTACTCTGTCCTACCACGATGCGTCCGCGTGTACATTTGCTATGCACACAATCTCCCAGCTTGCGATCCGAATGAGCAGCACCAGCGACGTGTCAACAAGCTCGTCGATGCGCTTGAGCAGGCCGGAGTCTCTGCCGATCTACCCTGCTTCGACACGAACCAGGTCATGGCCGATGTCCAAGGCTGGTTTCTGGAGCACACACAGTCAGCTGTTGATGCTGTTCTCGTGGTGGGCTCTGCCAAACTGGTCAAGATGTGGCGACAGGTGGGCAGCCAACATCCCACAGCAATAGATGATGCGTCACCACAACTGGCGTTTTACGAGAGAAACTTTGTAAAGAAGTTGACTTCAGACCCGGAAGGTCACGGCATCCCGGTGATTCCAGTTCTCTTGGAGAGGAGCTCATCGAATGACATTGTAGTTGACTTCATGGAAAGGAAAGTGTCGACGTCAGTGAGACCCTTGCGTTGCTATGAGGCATGCGGTCGCACAGAGTTGCAAAAGTATATGAAAGACCTGACACAGAAAATAGTTGCTGGAGGATCTGCCAATGAGTGCAATGTGACGCTGGAATTGTCGGACTCGGACCATTCCGATTCAGAATGCTTGCAGGCCTCTTGTGAAGATGCTCAGCTGGAGGCAGTCGAAGAGGTGGTCGATCAACTGTCTCAGAACCGGTCAAGGTCATCAAGCAGAGTGTTGAGTAGACGCAGTTTGGTGCTGGATGCAGAGCAGCCAAGCCAGCTAGCGGCACCGGATGCCTCATCAACAACACAGAGCACATCACGCACTTCCAGCATCCATGAAGATGATGTGCTGTCTCAAGATACCCATCACATCAGCAGCGCTGTACTTGATGATAATGGATCAGGGCCACACAATGGCATAGAGATGATGGCAACTGCAGTGACAGCTGCAAGAATCACCGGCGATGACACAGCAGCAACAACAGTAGCAGAAGCAACATCAGCAACAACAGCAGCAGCAACAGCAGCAGCTCACTATGAAGACACTCTCAGCAATGGTGAGCATTACACCATTCACCAGTATCCGAGTCAAGCCGACAGCCCGTCATTCACCTCCGCACAGCAGCATGGGTATGCGGCGAATTCCTATCCGAACGAGTGTGCCGTCCACATAACTGCAGAACATGCGTCCACTGAGCAGAGCACAGACAGTGGTGATGCGTGTACTACGGATAGAGATCACTGTACAACACACGCACCCAATGCATGGCCAAATGCCACAAAATATGATGATGGATGCGGCGATTGTGATGATACCGATGACGAGGGCAGAGAGCTGCAACGGAAAGTGCGCGCCGCCCTTGCGGACTATGAGCATGATAGCGGTGCAGCTGGTGATTCAGCGGAGGGTCATCACAATGCTCTTGAAATTCACATTCCCATGGAAGATGATCTCTGTGACTGTGTATCTGGATACATGCCTACAACGATCGACCAGCCCGTGCTGCCTGCCGAGCTGCAAGCAAGTGCTGCGGTGCCTCCCTGTTCAGATGAACGACAACGCCATGGTCATCAAACGGACATATTGTGCAGGCATGCTCCTGACGTAAGAGGTGAGGCAGCGCTGAATCCCAGCATGGATGTCCACGAGCAAGCACAACCAAGCGCCGTGCAGAAATCACCACAGCTCCGTTATGGACATGCGTACGCTCCCCGCCATGGTTCGGAGGCGGCATCATCAGCGGCCACAGTACCAAGTCACTCACCAACTGAGCATGCCCAAGATGGCCGAGCTAGCCAGCCAGTGCAAGTCATGAAGCCGGCATACCTTGGCTGGCTCAGCTCCAGTACTGGCATATCAGATAGCTGAGCAACGGGATGGCACACCCCACCTCCACACTCCATTATTCACCCCAGTGCCTGGAGATATGTGGATTTTGTAGAAAAAAAAGAAAAGAAAAAAAGAGATACAGCACTAGCCGTACTTGGAGTACTAGCCTGTAGTTCTCCAAAGCCGCTACTGAAGTACTTTTGACCCAGGCTTGAATGTACCCGCATGTAGATCTACAGCGTACTCAACCGGCTGCCCGGTGTATGACAATTACCACTTGGTAAACAGATTGAACCAATACTTATTAGTACTGAGAACATGAGAGAATGTATACTACATTAAATAAGGGATTTGCTCAAATCTGCAAGTTGCTATGCGGCTCCATTTTGAATTTACGAAATCCGAAATCTTGCTTGGATTGAAAAAAATATTTAAAAAACAAAGAATACTTAAAGTATATTCCAGGGAGCGCCGTCTCTGCAATATAATCCACACGGTCAGCTTTCTAGAAATCATGCTCAGTTGCCTTTCTATTTGCCCATTTACCTATTTTGTTATCTGGAGTCACTTACTAGTAGCCAACAAGCTTCTACTATCATGCTAAGGCACGCCTATCCCTTACCCACCTCATCACATCCCTACCGCACAGGTACATGTGGCGTGCCTAGTATTTGATATTCCGATGCTGAGCAGCTCACTCTGATTGTTCTGGCTGATTGGTTTGTCTGGTTGAAAACTGTCCATCAAGGAGGAAAGAAGACCATCTCTCTCAGCGTGTGGGGTGTGAAGGTGTCAACGAAAACAAGGCTCAACCTAGTAATCTTGTAGGAGTCTTGCATAATATTATGGCAGTTTATATGATGACAACCAGGGAGTACTGTAAAAATGAGGTATTTGACTGTTTCCTGGTGATAGCCGATGTCTTCTGAAAATGTGAAATTTCATTGCAGAATCACAATTTGCAACGGGCAAGAAGTGCCCTCGAAAGTCAAGTCATAGCTACATGTTACAAGATAAAAGTAAAGTGGTGCATGTATTGCATGTAACACAGGCAAAACACTTGGTCCCCCCCCCCCCCCCCATTTCCCACTTTCAGCACACAGAGCAATGCTGTTCAACTCTACGAGTGACTTCCAGTTGGATGTACAGTGCAATTTTATGCAATCAGGCATGTTAATAAATAACTGCAAGGTACAACAGAATGTTGGACGGACAAAAGGTAAAATATTCTATAAAAATCTTTAAACTATCACTTTCAAGGAAGCACAGGGCCTTAGTAAACCTAGTAAATAATAACTACACTGTACACTGTTCTTCGAAGTACCAGCACCTCAGTCTAGCATTAGATGTTGACGTATTCATTTATTCATAGTGGCAGACCAATGTGACGTCGGAGCGAACTGAAAGCAAGCCAGCAGTACCAAACTGTACAGTACTAGGGAGGCGTAATGTATCCACGCAGGAAAGCACACACCACCGTCATTCCCTGGCCAACAGCAATATGCAGTGCAGCCCAAAACTGCCCGCACTCTGTAGCTAGAGTTTGCTTATCCAACGCTCTGAGCCGTCATCAGCCACCTGACTGGGTGCGATGTCGCCCTGCTGCTGCAGTTTCAGCAGGTGATTCATCACATTCTTCTCCGCCGCTCTGTACAGACTCTCCGGCGTAGTCGTGTACACTACCTTGACGATGTCCATTGCCGTCCAGGGCCGTGCCTCGCTACGGACGCACGCCAGGATCTGCTCCTCGCGCTGATTACGATGAGCAATGTACTGCTCCAGTAGCGGCATGCTCTCCTCAATGACCGGGCCATGGCCTGGGTAGATGCGACCAGGCTTCAGCTCCACCAGTTTAGCAAGAGACTTCATGTAATCGTACAGGTTCTCAAACACGGCAGTGCTGCCGCCTAGAACACAGTCGCCGGAGAAGACAGCATTCTCCTGCTCCAGGTACAGAGCAACATGGTCGGTTGTGTGCCCGGGTGTGTGTATCACACGCAGCGATGTCTCGCCGTCGTCCAGGTTGAATGTGTCCGTGTCGCGAAGCGTTTCCACGGGTACTAGCTGTGATGTTTCGCCACTGGTGCTGGTGATTGGCCGGTCGTGATCTGGTGCAGGCATCTTCCAAAAGGACACATTCGGCTGCAGTCTACTAACATCGGCTACGCCACCGACATGATCATGATGCCAATGAGTGAGTACAACGTGTTTGATTTCACATCCATCCATGGATTTTCTCAGCAGGGCTGGATAGTCTGCTTTCCCCTCCCCAGTATCAATGAGAAGGCGCTGTTTTCCTTTGCCAACTAAGTAAGTATTCGTTCCCTGCAGCGTCATTGGGCCTGGGTTCAGTCCGAGGACGCGAACAACACGAGACGATAGTCTCTCCAAATTGGGCAAAGCTGCCAATGCCATTGCTGATGGCCTAGAAACTGGAGGCTGATTTACTGATGGTAGACCGTGATCGCCAGGTACTAGGTGTGTCTATACCACCATGTACATGTACTAACAATTATTGTAATACTAGTAATTGATTTGTTAGACAGATCGAACTGCAAAATATTTCCCAGTGCTTTCAGAATGGTAAACTCCAATAAAAATAATACACGGGAAGAAACCCAAAGCAATACCTGCAGGGAAGATAGATCCAGATAACAGAACCTCACAGGTACTAGGTGAAGACGTCGAGAAGATAACTCTAAAACTAGCTCTACAAGATTTGACATGGACAGTGTAGTGCTCTTCAAAAGTAACATTAGTTCGAAAGTAGTTGCATCCTCGATGATAAAAAAAATCTGGGCCAGCGCCCGCGAGGCCGAGGTGCTTTGGCAGCGCAAGCTGTCAACGTGAAAATCGCGGAAGTCTCCAAAAAGAATGTGGACTCGACTGGCGCCATGGCATGCGAAAATTGCGGGGTGAAATCAAGGAGATCGCGGCAAAAATGGGGCAAATTGAGGAGAAACCTAAACATTTGTGGAACTCCTCACACCCGACGGCCGTGCATGCTGGTTTTCGGAACCCTCACTGCACTGAGCTGCAGGGGCTCCGGGACTCCTTGCTCCACAGTGACATGATTGTACAGCAACTAATGAGTTACTTTTAAAATAGTCTTTCACAGTTCCAAAAGGCAATGCCCCAATCGTGGATGTCCGGGAATATCGTGGTGAATTAGGTCAAACCCGGTGTTTTAATACAAAACAAGTGAAAGTCACGGATTTTGGCACGGCCATGGGATTGTGATCTTCCGCGGAGACAAGGCAAGGCCAGGGACCGTGTACCAGGCGTTAGTACAGGTACAATGTAGAACATAATGCGCCCTTTATTGATTGTGTACCGGTATACAGCGTATACAGTAAAACCTGTAACTAAAGACCACCGTGACTAGCGACCAGCCTGGAACTAAAGGCCACTTCGCCAGGCAAGGACGGTCTCACATTCATTATGGTTGTGCGGTGCAAACCTCTAACTAAAGACCACCTGCCACTAAAGACCGCTTTCTCTGGCCCCAAGGGTTGGTCGTTAGTCGCAGGTTTCACTGTACTCGTACCCGGTAGACTCTACGGTACGAGTGAGTATTCACTGACTATTCACTGACTATTCACTGACTATTCACTGACTATTCAGTATTCACTGTGTCAAAGTATGCAAAAATCACAGTATGCCTACTGTATGCTGTACGCTCAAACGTCCCTGAATCCGGGCACCTTGGGACCGGGCACTGCCCGTATCTCAGATTGTCCCGTATCTGGGGACCACTATTTTACCATGTACCACATTTGTTGCTGCTGAGGCTTGCCACACTCGTCCGACCTTGGGTGTCGGGATCATGGACTGGCAACCGCATCAAGGATGGATAGGACAAGGGGTAACACTAGATAAGAAGATAATAAACGGATGGAGAGCCAAGCTAGTACCGGTAGTTCTAAAAAAACTTTTAGGATCAAAGGTTTCCATAACATGTCGTGTTATCTGCAATTAGCCCAGCCCTAACAGTTACGAGTCAGAACATGCAACAGCACAAGAAGGCTGAAGAAGCATATTTCTATTCTCTCCAGTGAACCAGCGCTGGAGAGCTAGTCTTCACAATTGTCTTCACAATTACCGTAGTAATAAATCCAGCAGACTATAGACGGGATAAGACGAAAATAAAGCATACCGGTACTTAAAATAATGGGACCAAGCCATGAATATTACAGTGGCCGACCCGAAGCACACCGGCCTGATAGCAATAGTCATCTTCAGGATAATTTAGCCAGAAGGCAAACGTCCATGGATTGATGTGCTGGGAAGCAGTACAATACTCTGGTTGCGCTGGTCATCGGCAGCTGCGGCCCGGTATAAGCCCATTGCGCATTGCCAAATATGGGAGGTATGAGTAATCCACGTGAGTGCGCTGGGATCAACAATGCACTGTCATGTTCAACACCTCAGACGACCATGCCCATGTCCAGGTACTCGTACTACTTTATAGGTGGCTGTGTGGGGTGTCGGCGGTACAAATTACATCATTGCACAATGGGCTTGTTGGGCACGGTTCTCACTGGCACACCGTGAGACGGTATGTCACCCAGTGGACAGGAAGCAAGCGACACCAGTCCACGGATAACAAGCACGAGAAAAGATCCCCAGCTCCCTCTCAAGACGTGGCAGTGTAAATTTAGCCATGAAATGCTGACTGACGGATGTGGTAGACACACCAATGCCGGAGCAATAGTCTGTGTACCAGTTTCATAGCTCTGCATACGTCAGGAAACTCAGCACAAGATACTAACACCAGCATGAGCCGCCAACTCCAGCATTCGGTTCCTTCCGCAGAGACCTCACTACAACAGATCAGCACCACAAAAACCGTCCAGGGCATCGCAAAATGCAGCAGCAAGACTTGTAGGATAGAGGTGCACACATCATCTCGCTGTATCTTCCACGACGCGGCACACGTCTAGCATGCAGAAGCGCGAGCGGCAGTTTGGACACGGAGCGGATGAAGACAGCCAAGTCTCCGGACGGTGCTGGTCCTGTCGGCTGGCAAACCAGCGTGCCATACAGCTGAGACACCACTGCGGACGACAACGACAGTTGCGACAGTCACCATCCTACAGCATCAACAACAAAATTCACGGTTCACATGAGACTCGGCCGAGTTTTCCGCACCCGTAGGAACGCCACCACGCGCTATGGATCAATGCACAGATGCGGCTCCTAAAGCGGTGGGAGGTGAGTAGATCAGATCCACCACTAAGTGGTCAGCAGCGTGGTCAAAGTGGTCAGCATCACAATGTCGACAAATACCAAGTTGCCGAGTTGACCGATAACTCACACTATAAAACTTGCTTCACTCAGAAAGCAGAACAGCCCACAAGGTGAGAGTCCATACATCTCAACTAGGCTCCCAGTATGATCAATGAAAACAAAGACCCTTTCGGGAAATCAAAAGAAAATTAAAGATATCCAAAAACGAGCTGTGCTGTCATTCTACCACACCCACCCACAGCCACACCCACACGGTGACACCCACACATTCCAACAAAGTCCAATATGAGTTATTAAACCACTCACTATGTTTTCCTTTGACAGTCACAAGAAAACATTCTAGTGAACACATACTGGGAGTGTTAGAATGAGAGCACAGCTCAGTTTATTGATAGCTATAATAAAAACAACTTTGAAGTACTATATATCTCCACCCCGTTCAGTCAAAGGAAAATGATGGAAATACTCTGCTCAATACCGCACTGTGGCATGTGGCATGCAGTGCCAGCCTAGCTTTCTCACTCACCTCATCAGCCGCACACAACTTCACAAGCTTAGCATCCGGCCTAGCAACCATACAGCCCAGGCATGAGTCAAGCTCCTAATGATAACGTAAACACAGAAAATATACACAGTCATATTGAAGTGGGCAAAGACAAAAAGCGCGACAAGAGTGAGTGAGTGAGTGTGTGTGTGCGCGCGCGTGTGCGTGTGCGTGTGCGTGTGTGTGTGTGTGTGTGTGTGTGTGTGTGTGTGTGTGTGTGAGAGAGAGAGAGAGAGAGAGAGAGAGAGAGAGAGAGAGAGAGAGAGAGAGAGAGAGAGAGACACACACACACACACACACACAGACAGAGAGACTGACAGAAAGGCAGTGACAACAAGAGACAGAGAGAGACAGACAAAGACAAAATGGAACGAAAACGACAGAATGCAACAAAGTTTCTACAGCCAGGCTCTCTCTCTCCATCATCCAAGGGCACACACTTTCGTACATGCACACACCTATATGTATACAGTGATCACTAGTACATATACTCACCGTATTCGGATCCAGTCGGTAGATATTGTTACGGTCTGCCTGCTCGATGAATGCTGCCACAAACTGCTCACCCACAGTTTGTTGCACAGTAACTCCACGGACATTGACAACATGTACAAACGGCAAGCGACTTCGGAAATCTCGATATTCCAGTCCAGGCACATGGATCACTACAGAACACACACACACACACACACACACACACACACACACACACACACACACACACACACACACACACACACACAGACGTACGTTCAAAGGGGGAAAACTACAGAAGGGAGAACCAGCTGGGCAACGCATAGCAATTATTCATTCTTCCAGCAGGCGCAAGCGCGACACACTTCCCAGATGTGCGTAACCTGCCACGCAAAAAGAATGCATACTGCTGCATGAAAATATTACCACTTAGTACGCAATGACTTTCTGTTTCTACAGAAGCAAAGCAAGACAGCATGTATATCCTACTTACTGAAGTCTCCTACTGCAGTATTCGCGCTGGTCACCTAATCAACACACACACGCACACGCACGCACCCACCCATCCACACACATCCACACACACATACACACCCATACACACACACACACACACACACAAAAGGAAAAAAAAATGATGCAGCTTGTGCGAACACAATGAACAGGACCAGTAAACTGGGAAGGCAACAGCACTTGCGTGTGGTGAGAAGAGAAGTGAGTCTTAGCAGTGGCAGCACACAGCACATACTTCGAAGTAGGCCACGGGTCAATGACAATATTACAGAAAATTTCAAACTTCTGGTCCATCGATTGATCGATTGATCAATTGAGAGAGAGAGAGAGAGAGAGAGAGAGAGGGCGAGAGAGAGAGAGAGAGAGAGAGAGAGAGAGAGAGAGAGAGAGAGAGAGAGAGAGAGAGAGAGAGAGAGAGAGAGAGAGAGAGAGGTAGAGACGCCTGTTACCTATACAAAAAAGGTGTGAACGTTATTCCGTAAACCAATCAGTCGTCAAAATACGTCCATGGCAGCAAGCGCTCTTTACAAGTTTATTTTCATGCAATCACAGTCATAGCTAGACACCTCCGCATCCGACTCCTTAGCACCAAAACTAATGTAGTACGTGCATGGGCACTATTTACCTTGATTGAGAGTCGTTGCACTGATTGCAGCACATCAGCCTGTGCATTGGAAATAAGAGCACTGTTCTGTAGCCTGCACAGGAACACAATAGGGCACACACACACACATACGCACAAACATACATACAATCACACACATACATGCACATGTGCACACATGCACACGTGCACACACACACACACACACACACACGCACACACAAACACAAACAGTTCCAGGTAATATGATATGAAAGCAACCTACCGGCCAGGTATTCCAGGTATTGGACGGGTCGGGTTTAAGAAACAGGCATGTAGCTACACACAGAAAATAGCGTAAATAAGAAATGAAACAAAATGGTTTCGACAACAGCGTGACCTCCGCATAAGTCAAGAATAAGTATTCGTTAATGTGGCAATTATTTCCTTGGAAATGGAATAATATGGAGCAAAAAAGTATCCACGCAAGCAAAAAAAACCTCTGACTCACGCCAAGACAGTCTCGGATAGCTTGGAGACATGAACAGTGAATATGCCAACTTTGATCAGCCATGATTCTGTAACAATCACCCGACCACTGGTAGGACCTGCACAACAACAACACCAGCAGTCAGCACAACAGTAGCAGCAGCAGCAGCAGCAGCAGCAGCAGCAGCAGCAGCAGCAATGCCAATGTACCGGTAAGTGGTGAACAACAAACCAACAAAGCCAGGTTTAAACAAAAGACTGCGCGCGATGGCACAGCCAGCGATGAACACCGGCAATGTGTGTTTGACACCAGGGTGAGTCCTGTTGCATAGAAGACATGTGCACAGTTGGTGTCAAGGAATAATGATCCTCGGTGGTTGCTGCATGCACAGTCGTTTGCTTGATCAGTTTTATATCTGTGCATCAAAGTAGCTGTAATACTGACAGGGCACAGGACAGTGCAGCACAGGAAACTCCTGCACATTGCACACTGTAGTACTGAACGACATGACTGTGTTCTATTTATTCATGAGTTCAAAATCAAGCAAGTACATGAACAAGCGGCGAGGAGACAACAATTATAATTTATAATTTCAAGATAAGTCGAATTCTACCCGTCCATCTCCGAGGAACTGCTGAAAAGTGCCCTGGAGCATGCAAGTAGTAATGCTCCCACCCGAAAGAGCAACGTCGATATCGTGATGCACGCCAGAAAATCACTGCTTTTCGCGGGTGGTCGAGCATGGATGAAAAAGGACAAAGACGAGATTTTTGATGTTACCATGGGATCGCATGATGGGGCGGAAGCCTGCGAGTTGGTTGGCGCTTTCATCCTCAGTAAGCTAGTGCCGATCTTCGGGAAAGAAAACGTGGGTCTCTACAGGGATGATGGCTTGGCCATATAATGGCCACCGCGCGGACCGGGTCCGGGGGGGGGGGGGGGGGGGGCGTAGTGGAAAGATGACAAGGCTATAGTGGAGTTTCAAAGTTCTCAAAAAAGTAACAACATTGCTTCCACTTGTTGATACCGGTAAACACATATCAATTCAACTGGTCCCCCTCTCAGACACACACACTCAGACACACACACACACACACACACACACACATACACACACACACACACACACACACACGCCTCACCTCACCTCACCTCAGACCTGCCAATCGCGGAATCGCGGAAGCGATGATAGTGAACAGCTATGTTAGACATAGCAACTTGTACTGGGATTACACCATTCAACAGCTTGCAAGGCTGATGAATTGACCACCACTATGTTTAGCCTGGTATCCACCACACAGCTGATTGAAGTGACTTTTTCTGGCCAGTGAATCCCTATTTTTCATTTTTCCCTTTTTTTTCTACACACACACCACACCACATACTCCGGCATACACTGGCTGTTGGTAACCACCCAGGAGAATGAAAGAAAAGTCAGGAAGAGTTCGAGAAAGAGAAGAAAGACGTGTGCGACCATAATCGTCGGGAATTGAACCCGCAACCTCTCGATTGGAAATCGACTGCACATACCACTGCACCATATGGGACACACACACACACACACACGCTTCTTTGAAGTACACGTAAGCGCACACCACGAACACAAATTGACATACACACACCCAGTAGTGGCACTGCATGGCAGAATTCTAAAAACTGCAATGGTTGCCCAATACTGAATCGGACAATAATCATGTGGGTCTTACCCGTAGTAAACTTGTCAATACGACGGAACTCCGTGTTGATGTTACCAGCAACAAATCTAAACATCAATAGCAATACAAAGTAGAGCAATGAGCAAAGTGTCCAGCCTTCAGTCACAAGCCTCACAGAAATTCCTGCACAGAAAGACCTTGCACTCATACTTAGTGTACAAGTTCAGCACTGCGCACAATTATGAATACATCCCAAAAATCAAACTACAATAACTCAAAAACCAACAGCTTGATGCAATGCTAAGCAATGCTACACAACACACCTGCTAAAGTGCACTTATACTTACACCCGGAGTTCAAAAATACCCCCCCCCCCCCCCCACCCCCCACCCACACACACACAAACCCAACTACAGTAAAACCTGTAAGCCCATGGTAAAAATTATCTTTGATTCTCAAGTACGCGCGCACCGATTTTTGCCGGCGCACCGACGATTTTTTTAAATTCTATGCATGCATATGCGCGCATGAAAACGGTCAATGCGAAAGGCATGAATCAGGGAGTAGTAAAATACCGGTATTTTTCTACTCCCTGGCCTGAATATGAGCCGTCAGATGCGAAAAGGGTGCTTATGGCAGCACAGAGCAAATAGAGTAAAGTGCGTCAGAGTGACAGGCTGTCAAGTACCTGTCACATGCATGAGTCAATCTTGATGTGACGTCATTTTTTCGATCGTTGCGGGATTCTATGCATGCATATGCGCGCATGAAAACGGTCAATGCGAAAGGCATGAATCAGGGAGTAGTAAAATACCGGTATTTTTCTACTCCCTGGCCTGAATATGAACATGTGACCATGTACATACATACAATGTGTGACCCTATATTTGGAATTAAAAAATTGTGGGAAATAAAATAAAAAATCGCTCGCTCGCACCGATTTTCACAGGCTCATGACCTGAGAATCAACTTTATTTTTTACCATGGCCTCACTAAAGACCACGGTGATTAGCGACCAGCCTGGTACTACAGACCACTTCGCCAGGCACGGACGGTCTCACTTTCATACATGGTTGTGTGCGGTGCAAAACTCTAACTAAGGACCACCTGCCACTAAAGA